TTCGAGTTTTTTTTTTTTTTTTTGTCTGTTCCTGTACAGCTCACTGCGTCAAACTATATTATGCTAGTGGATTTTAGATATGATAGATCTTGCAAATGTAAAACAGTTTTGTCTGCTCATTTATCATGAACCCAAGCAGCGCCAAAGCACAAGGAATAAGCAAGCCTTTAGATCATCTCTTTAAATGAGGAAAAAGCACCATCACTTTCCATTTTGGTTCCACTTTTCACACTGAAAATTACCTGTAAAAGAATAGCTCACCCCTGGTGAGCTAGGTTTGGCATTTGGTATTGAACTTAAGGTAGAAGCCATATATTAATTCAATTGGAATAGAAATGAGACCGTAAGGGATAGACGTGTCCATACTGAACACAGACTTTATCCAGAATTCAGCTTTTTTTTTTTTTTTTTTTTACAGTAAAAAGTAACATAAATTACAGAAAGATAATAAAATAATAAATGAAAATATTTTTACTAGATTTCTACTACAAATTTCTATTACATATAAAGTACATATAAAGTTAAATTACATATAAAGTACCATTACATATATTACACATCGTATGAATCCTGACAGAGCCCACCTGCACTTTTACACAGTTCACCAGCTTTTGGCCTTTTCAGACAGCTCACTTCTTCAGCCCTTGGGTGCAGTTAGCTAGAGGTGTAGAATGGACAGATGGTTTCACTCGTCCTTACAGGCTTTTGGGACCTCTCACCTTGCCCAGCTCAACTCACAGGAATGTAGCTAGAGGAGAGACAGCTGTGTTCTAGCTGCAGTGCGACTTTTACAACCAGCATCCTCTTTGACTCAAAGCTAAAACACCAAATTCTTATGGTTTTAAGATTAAACCGAGAGACACAACTTTGATAGGGGATAAAAGGAGCTGTGTGTGAGCCTTGTGTGTTTCTTTGCTGCCTGTCTATTTAAATTTGGATTATCAGAAGCAGGGTCAGAAATTAACAGGGTTTAGGGCAAAATGCCCCCAAAATTCAATATATAGGGGCAAAAAAATCTTTATAATATATTATTTTGTTAAACAATATCACTCAAGCGTATTCTCCGAATATCAACACGATTGTAAATGTGATATTGATTTTAAACTACTAAATTTATTTCTTACATTTTAGACACAAAATTATCTTGTTTTGCTCTATTTCACCAATGATAATAGTTCCAAACAAAGCCAGAGCAGAGCCGTTATGACAGACAAAAACACAGAGTAGTGTTTCATTAATGACTGAATCTGTATTAATGCATTAATTAATCAATTACCAATTCATAAAGACACTCGCTTGTTTCATTCATGAATGAATCAGCCATTTTGAACAAATCGGTTTAATTAATGATTCACTGAAAAAGACTGACTTGCTGCCATCTACTGGTGGATTCATTTCATATTTAAAATATCATTTTGTTTTTTTAATCATCCCATATTTCCATATTAAGCATTTTTTCAAAGTATTGATCTCATAACATTATGCAATTGTTATTGCACTGTAAATGCATTCATGCCACCTCTGAGCTGCATTAAGCAGTCTGTGAAAATCTACCTTAAGGTCACTTCAAATGCTACCAAATCTGCAGTATAGAGATGACTTTTGTTGATACTAATTTCTTTTGATTGGTAACAGCCCTATTATGTCTTATTATTCTAATCTGATTAAATTTTTCAAACTAATTTAAATTTAAGAATTTGACATTAGACACATACATTTAATAAGTTTAGCAAAATTGCTCTTACAAAGGTAAAAAAAAAAATGAAATAAAAGTCAAAGAACCTGTTTTGTAAGTAGATTGTTTTTTGTTTTGTTTTTCCAACAAAAAAATGTGTAATCAAATCATACAAAGTACAGTTTTAAGGACTGTATGACATTTTTATGGAAGGTCAATTTTCTCACTCAATTGCTCAATTCAGGCAGTTGAACCAAATGGTATTATGAACCCAGCTTATATGTCTGAATGCCCAGGGTAGAGACTTTTGAAAGCAAATCCCTGCCGTAGGCTGTGGCAGAACTGCCTCAGGAACAGGCAATGTGCCGAGGACCATTGGGTCAATATGTTATTGAGGAGATGAGAGGCGCAGAAGCTTGGCGAGCCTGAGACATGGCGCAAAGCTGGGGGAAAAGCCCAGGGGGACCTGCCTACCCAGGAGGGCCATGACGTTCACTGACCGTGAAACTGACAAATGGCCAGTAAAGCAGCCGCGGCAGTGTGCATGCGCACTGACAAGCCAGCTGAGCTACGTGACCATAAGCACACATGTGCACACTGAATTAAAGCTGGAATGCTAGCTTCCTGTCACACGCTGTAATGATATGGTATACAAACGCTAGAGGTTTGAGGATGTAAAATAGAAACAAACACTGAGATTTCCTTGCACACATTCACACTCATGCGCTGCCATGTTTAAAGCTTGCAACACTTCTAATGTAGTGACCTTTACTGTTTTACACACTCATCCCCTCTGGCACTCAGTAGATTACATACAGCAATGCACAGACACATGCTCTTCTTACTGTCCTCTTCTGGAAAAATATGTCACATCCTTTTGAGATCTGTAGATTGTCCGACATGACGGGCACAAATTCTGCCTCCGGTTTCACAGCCACGGCCTTGGAGAAAGTCAAGGAGGAACGAAGCGAATTCAGACGATGCTACATCAATCTGCAGAGAGAGGAACAGAATGAATTACACTACCACCTGTGGTTCTCCACAGACATGAACAAGAAGCACCTCGCATTAAACTGTCTGAGAGATGACTTTGACTCACCTTAATGGATCAGGCCTTGATACTTACTAATTAAAAGCTTCAGGGATCTATTTATAGGTCTGTACAAGCTGTCTGCTTGTGACTCAGCTAATTTCAAGCAATGGCTCATTCTGTGTACAGTACACACACAGGACATTTCCCACTAGCTTTTGAATGCTTCATCACAGTTAAAGAATCTATTTTAAGCAGCTATCTTTATTCATTCATCTTAGTGCGAGATTAACATTCGTGCTCAGTTCGATTTTTCTTCCCTGTCTTCTGTCTTGCGTATGAATTGCGACCCAAGAGTCTTCAGTGGATTAAATGAAATTGATAATTAAGTGTTTGATGCAGCAGTTCTTTATTATTGCCCAATCTTCTGTTTTGAAGTCAACATAAAGTCTAATGAAACCTGTTTGCTTTTTTTTTTTTTTTTTTTTTCAATTTTTCAGTTCGC